TGAGGATTGGTAAAGGATTTTAGCCAATGAAATGCTATTGCCATGCAGTAACTTTTGCTATTTTGTGAAGCCCTATATAAACAAATAAAGGCTGCGTGCTGCCGGCCATTTCTTTGCACCCTTCAATGACTAAGGACTGATTACTATAGCTGGCGCCCTCAGCGGGGACATTTTGTTTTGGGACCCCTACGGGAAGAAGCAGCTGCCAACATACTTACCATTGTCTGGAACAGACCCCTAGGTGCACTTTCATCTTACGAGACCCCTCAGTGAGTAAGTATGGCTGTAAATTATCTCACCCTCAGCAAAAGCATGTACAGGAGTTCAGACTCCTGCTACAGAAATCAGGCCTGGCAACACTTGAAACGAACATAAGAAAGCTGATTGGGGAGATAAGAAAATAGTGTTCTTCAAATCTTAAGCATCGGACACTTAGGCTAAAAGATAGAGCATAAATTACATCTTGAACCTTGGGCTTCAGTATAAACATCTATAGTGTTCAATCCTGTCCGGCAAGGAAGAAAAAAAATGGACCCATCAACTAAATAAAATTTATTCCTCCTAAAAACATCTTTAATTGGATTTTCAGCTTCTTCTGAAGAGGCTAATTCTTTGCTTATTAGTTGAGACATAAATCAAAATTTACTCCCTCAGAACAAAGTCTTTTGAGCAATCGGAATGCTCTGCAATCTGTTAAGTTAACCCTTGTGTTTTGTGTTATGTGTGTGGCCACTCAGAACATTATGCTTGGGCTTGGAATGGTGAGAAAAATGGGAAATGATTAGGGCCCTCAAAACCACTTTTTGGTTGAAATCACCTTGTCATTTTTCTCGCTTCTTGCAGGACAAGTTATGTGTCTAAATAAATGTTGTTGTAACAGTATTTGTGTATATACATTTGTCTGTGTTGTTCTGTGTTATTCCAAGACTTGGAAGAGGCTCAAAGCCCTCTCTGATAACAACAATACAAAAAGGCCTTGCTAAGAATATATGGTTTGCCTGGAGAAAGTATAAATGAAATAATTGTATGTGGAATGGTTTTATGCAAACAGTCAGTATGGAACTGAATGAGTTAATTTGTTGAAGTGTGTGCTAGCCTTCAAAACCCACCCATTTTCTCCCTAACTGTGATAATAATAGTAAATATTTGTATGAGAAGAATTTCATGGAGAATGTATGAAAGAATTTATTAAAAAATGCATATGAAGGAGATGAAACTATTTTTTGGTGGTGAGATTTCTCCCCCCCCCCTGTCTCTTTCGGCTGGCTGCGTTGCTTAAAGAGCCAGGGACAGGAAGGAGGGGGGGAACTGTTCGTTTAAAATTTTTTTTTCCTCTGCTTGGAATTGTATCTGAAGAGTGATGAGAGGAAGGAACGAGAGGAGAGAGAAAAGAGTAAAGGAGGGGAGAAGGAAGTAGGAAGGTTGGAGGAAGAGGAAGAGGAAAGGGGAGCAGAGTGGTGAAGGAGAGGAGAGGAAGAAGAGGGAAGTAGGAAGAGAAGAAAGGGAGAAAGAAGGTAGAGAAGAGTGAGTGTGGAGGGAATGTATCTTAATATCTGATAAGTATTACGGTATATGTATGGGGGAGAGTTTGGAAAAATAAAAAATTATTGTAATCTGAGAAGAGTGGAGTGAATCTGAAACCTGACATTCACCTATGCAGTTTCGGCAAATAAATTTTTTTTACTCAAAAGAGAAACAGTAAATGTTGGACAATATTTTTTATATCCAACAACCATAAGAACTAACTGAATTACTTTGTAATAGATTTATACATATTTAACCTATTTATATAAAAATTATTTCCATCTGAATGGACTTTGCTTAAATTGAAGCACCAAAGATACAATTTAATTGGCTTTTAAAAAATATAAAATGATTTAGGATTGCAATAAGTCCCAGAAAAAAATATAGTTGCACAAATTGATGACATCATGAATACTCAATTTGTGGACAGAATTTCACACTTTTGATTTTTTTCCTACTAGTAAATTACCTAATGGAGTATTAACTGTAATAAAAGTGCAGAAAGTATATTGAATTGAATAATATTTACTTATCCCACATCCCATCCCAAAATGTTTTATTTTTTATCCAGGTGGTTGCTAAAATGATAACCTTAGGATGCACAAGAGCTTGCCATCAAAAAGGAACTGATTAATTAATATTGTTTTCAAAAATAACTTATCTCTTTAATGTGCTTTAACTGACTATATAGGCTGTATTTCATATCATTTGCCTAATGATCTTTGACTTGCTTGTTTAATGACTTTTTCCTTTCCAGTCCAGCCACTGCTTTCTTCTTCTTTCTCCCTTGCCACAAGTTATTGCTTTTTCTGATGGAGGGTGAATGAGAGGAGCAATTGCTTACAAGGATGATACCTGGAAAGTGTCCTACTCTGCAATGCAACCCTTATCACAATGCTCAGAATTATTTTAGCTTTTCAAATCTTTTCTCAACAGTCTTTTAACTTAATCTCTGACTCTCATTATGTTGCCAACTTACTTTTACTCCTTCAGGTGCTTACATCACATCCAGGATTGACCCCAATCTTATGGCTTTGTTTTTAACTTTGCAGCAGCTGCTCCATAACTGAAAGCATTTATAATTTTGTTTCTCATATACACAATCACTTCTCCCTTCCTGGGCCTAATTTTTTTTTTGTATGTCTTTTGTATGTTTTTTTTTGTATGTCTTTTATGTGGTTTTGCCTCTAATCAACTATGACAAATGGACTTTATCCATGTTCTCTCTTTTTGGCTTCCTAGAAATGTATATTCATAAATAGGTATTTAGGAAGAATTTCCCCCACCTCTATGAGGGGAAACAGCTTCGCATGATATTTTTTATCTTTTTTTGGCTGTTACAGCCCTGGGTTAACCCTCTTCCCTAAACACTGACAATGGGCCAGCCTATTTTTCAGTGGCCTTTTTACAATTTTATATAACCTGAAATATTGTTTTTACTCATGGTCTTCTCTATAATTCCACGGGTCAAGCTATCGTGGAATGTGCTAATTGGTCTTTCAAGGACTGCCTTCACAAACAAATAAAAAAGGACAGATTATCTAGGATACCCAATTTGTCGTGGGTAATACAACAGGTTCAAAAAGTATTATTTACATCACACCAATTGAATGTTTCTATTCAAAATTTGACTGCTTATCAGAGACACTTTCAACAGAAAACAAGCTTGCCTCCACCTCTGGCATATTATCGGGCATTACCAGACAAAGAATGGTTGGGACCAGTCCCTCTGATCACTTGGGGGCAGGGCTACGCTGCTATGCTTGCTCCAACAGGACCTTTGCGGATTCCAGCGTGTTGTGATCACCCAGCCAGGGATGTCGTGGCACCAGTCCCTGGACCCAGTCCCAGAAATGGCAAGTGTGACTCTACAGATGGCACAGCAAGTAATCCAATCCTGACATGCCAGGCAGCCAGTGACGTGGGGAGATGTAAAGAACTTGATCCCCGAGAACCTGTGTGCTGCCATTTTTGCGGTTTTAACTGCAAATTTCTTATCCATCATTTGTTTATGTCTGATCGTTAACATCTGCCCTTTGACAACTGTAACTGTCATCCCACTCAAACAATCATTCGAACAACGAATGAAGCAAAATCTAACATCACACAAAATGACTTCTTTTGTTTATCTGAAATGTATTACATGTAATTTGTTTTCTATATGCTTAGTCTTTGTTTGCACCCCTTCTGCAGTAATTCAAAACTTCACTGACTCTGGGAGGTTATTGCTTAAAAAACCTCACTGTCATCGCATTGGCTCACCTGCTTTAAATTGCACAGCTTCAATAGAGACTTCCTTTCATTTTGGACATGCTTGGCTACTGCAAGGAGGGTTTTTTTATGTGTGGTCAAGAAACTTTAAATTATATTCCTGCTAATATTAGTGAAGCGCGATGTTGCCTCAGCCAGCTGATTCCTGTTTTGTTTTCCAAACAACAAGTTCACATGAACCATTCTTCACGTGGTGTCACGCTAGACAACACTTGTGACTCTGAGATAACCTTACTTTGTAGCATTGGCTATATCTCTAGTGGGCGTGCCAGGACTTGCTGTTCGTGCTCACCTCAACATTAATGCTATTATATGAAATTTGGCAAAGACACTTAATACTACTTCTTCAACTATCTCAGCGATCAACCATGAACTGCAAAATTTGAGAAGAGCTATTTTGCAAAATCACGCTGCAATTGATTATTTGCTTCTACACCAGCATTTCGGTTGTAAACGTTTTGAGGAAATGTATTGTTTCAATATTTCTGATAATTCATGAACCATCCAGCACCAGATTTAAATTTTACACAATTTGGCCTTTGATTTGAAAATTGGTACCTTAGGATCTTTATGGGTGCTGTTTATGTAATGTATTTCTTTCATTTTGCAATATATGTATTAGAGCTTTAAATCCCAGTAGATCCTCTCTCACATTGCCTCAGGGTCAAGTTTTGGCCCTATATTAACAACTGCAAGGATGCTCCTCTCCTGATTATAATCTTTTTATTAACCCTGCTTATGACGATATTTCGTCTAACAAAACAAAAAGGAGTGAGATGTAGGGATAAGAGACAGGCGAAAGTTGCGAGCAGAAAACTGCCCTACCAACGCGTGTGCCTTTGTTATGCATCTTATGTGACGCAGGTCTCTGTGACCTTGCCAATTTGATAAGGCTAAATCGGTGAACAACAAGTTTTCCTGTTTATGGCCTCTAACTTTTTACTCTTGAGGATTGGTAAAGGATTTTAGCCAATGAAATGCTGTTGCCATGCTGTATCTATTGCTATTTGAAAAACTCTATAAAAACAATAAACGGCTGCGTAGTAGGTGGCCATTTCTTTGCACCCTTCAATGACTAAGGAGTGATTACTACACTAAACCACGGTTCATTTCACGGCTGTTCAAAGTTACAAGGGCACTGAAAAAACTGACTCTTCTTTTTAAACTTTTTTTATTGTTTTTAATGTTTTTTTAATAATGTCATGTATATACCTGTGTTTAAAATTGTGTATCCAAAACAGTCACTTGTTGTGAGATGGGTGGTTATATAAATTTGGTAGCAAGATGATATAGATAGTTAGAGAGAGAAGGGGGGGAGAGAGAGAGAGAGAGAGAGAGAAGATAGAGAAAAAAGAACAGATAGATATGATATAGATGATAGATAGATAGATAGATAAGATAAGAGAGAGAGAGAGAGAGAGATCGACAAAGAAATGACAAAGATGAGAGGGAGAGAGTGGGAGGGAGGGAGAGAAAGAGGGAAGGAAGGAAAGAGAGAGAGAGAAAGGGAGAGAGAGAGAGAAATGACATTCTCAGTTCTTGTGAAATGTAGCTCATTCCCTGCCAGAAGCTCCTCATGTGGGTCATGTAGACCATAGTCCAAGAATCCAAAGTTCTCTTGACAGAACCATCCTCTGGATGACTTTGGAGGGGGCAAGGCTCAGTGGGAGAGCTATCTAGGGGCATCTAGGGGTGCTGGGGAGAAGGGAGGGGTCTTCCACTCAGAGTTGCCCCCTTGATCTTTCCTCTCTCCGGCAGAGCTGCTCTCCCTTCCTCCCCCGATGGCAAATGTCTCCTACACCAGGAATGGCTTCGGCTGGACTTTCTGCTCTGGCCCCAAGAGGCCCTGGGGAAGACACCCTTCCCAACACTCCCTGCCCAGGAGCCCTCAGACCAGGGAGATGGACATCAGGGCGACCTTCCCAGAGATCAAGGCCATTGGACACAGAACCACTCGGGGCCTTTTCTAAGGGGGGGCTCCGATGAGCTTTGGTTGGGGGCCACACATGAGACTCCCACAGGACTTTCTCTGTTGGGGACCATCGGGTCGGGACGGGGTCCTCCACCCAGGACATGAAGCAGGAGGACCCTCAAACTGTGCAGGAGACACTGCTCTAGGGGTCTCCTCTGCACAGAAGAAGGGGGCTTCAGACCCAAAGGCAGGAAGGGCTGTGGGGCGGCAGTGGTGATAGGTGGGTAGTCCTGGAAAAGGCCTCTAGGGTCTCAGGTGGAGGGAGGGAGGTGTTGGGTGCCAAAATGGGGCACGACCCTCCAGTTGTGAAGGAGAGAAATGGCACAAATGGCTGGGTGAGTGTAGGGGGAGTCTCATGTGTCCCTCAATGGCTCCCCACAAGTGCTTGAAGGGGACCATTCCTTTTGGCATCCTGGTCCTCAAAAATAGGCTTGAGGGGAAGCAGAGAAAGGGGGCCTCTGAGCAGGAGGGGAGTCCTGTCCGTTCCTCTCCCTGGATCTGCCACCCCTCCTACCAAACCACTTTTGACTTCAGACCTGAAGTAGCTGGGATGGTTGATCCAGAGGCAGGGGAGGTGTCAATCTGGGGAGAGGAAGGGGAGAAGGGAGGACCCTCCTGCAGGAGGGAGAGGAAAAAGGAGGAGGAAGAAGGAATTCCAGGATTTTTCCTACAATGTTTATTCTTTTATAGCAAAGCGAAGGGAAGGGATTCAGATGAAGAGTAATGAAGATGAAGCTGCTGTGGATTTAAAGCTGGGAGAGATTTGGGTGTCTGGACTGACAGGCAGGTCCAGAGTCCCAGAGGTCAGTCTAGATGGTCTCCACTGCTCCCTCACAAGAAAGAGAAGCCTTCAAAGGAAAGTCAGAGGGGTCTCAACAGGAAAAGCTCCGGGCTGCCATTCTCATCCTCCCCCCAATCTAAAATTGTGACCCTCCATTTTTCAGAGGTTGCAAAAAAGAGACAGAAATTCATCAGTTAATGGAAAAAAGCCCCTTTCCCTCCAGGACGCAGGAAGGACGGAAGAATTAATTCATGAGTGCTGTAGAAAAAAAGAGATGGGGAGAAAGTTAGAAAATAAAGTGAAGCCAGTGTAAATAGCTTATTATTCTCTCTTTCAGCCACCCTCCCAGAAAGGCCCACATTGTAGGGGGGTGGTTGATGGGTAGGAACAAAATGAGGTAGTGTCCCCCCCCCTTTTCAAAGTGGAAAAGGATGCAAAGGACCAGAAATTCATCTCCAGAGGGTTATGGAATTTACCCCAATTGACTTAACTGGGGGGTTAATCAAAAAAGGAGGCCTCCCCCCCAGACATTTCATATTAACAAAGAAGATGGGGCCAGGATGGGGATTGGTAGCAAAGCTGGGTGTCGCTTTGCCAGAAATTGTGTGAAATGTCACAAGGAGACTTCCCTTCTCTTTTGCAATTTCCCAAAACCTGGAAATCTCCTGGGAGAGATTTTAGTGTTTATGTGTGTGTGTTTGTTTTTGATTGCACTGTTTTCAGGTCTCTGTAATGAAATGCTGCCCAAAATTTCAAAAATTTGTGTTATCCACAGCTAGGAGGTTTTGTTCGGGCACATTTTTCTTTTAAAGGATCAATTAACGAATATTAAAGAAACATCTATAACTTGAGGGGAAACTCACCTGCAGGAGGCTGGATGGGAATTGCTGGAATGAGAAAAAGAGCCAATCAGAACCATTCATGGGCTGGAGGACTCAAGGGGTCCCCCTCCCCATTGATAGCCCATAATAGGTTTCAGGATGCTCACTTATACAGTAGACCCTCAAAGAACAGAATTTCCCAAGCAAATCTCCAAGGGGGCCTCCTTGCCATCTTCTAAGCTTGCTGTGAGGCCTCCCCTGGATGGTCCCCTCCCCACAATCTCTTAACTAGCCCCCCAGACTCACCTTTCTTGCTCTTCAGGTAGAGGGAGAGCCCCATGGCAAAGAAGATCACCCCGATCACGGCTGCCACGATCCCTGTCCAGAGTTTGCTCCTGGCCGAGTTGGAAGAACGGGGCTCTGGGGAAGGAGAAGGAGCTTCACTGAGTAGGAAGATCAGGGCCAGCTTCCCCCCCAGGAGGGTCCATCCCAGCTCCCCCCACAGGGAGGGTCTCTACCCCTTCTCAGGGTAGGAGGGGGTCCCCAGAGGGGGAGAGGAGGGACTCACCTCACTGGACGGTGATTGGGGCTTCCAGGCTGGCATGCTCCACCTGGCAGGTGTAGACGTCCCCCTGCTGGGGCTGGGTCTCCAGCATCACCTGGAGCTGGTAGGTCCAGTCTCCATTCTGTAGCTCATCCCTGAAGGCCACGCCCTCCTCCTCCGGCCGCCCATTCTTCAGCCACCGGACCTTGATCTCCACAGGGTAGAAGCCCCTCGCGATGCAGAGGAGGATGGTGTGGGGGGAAGTGGGGTCCAGCTTGGTGGGGGAGATGGAGACGGTGGGCTTGGCTGGAGGGGAGGAGGGGGAGGGGGAGGGGGAGGAGGAGAAGGGACATGGGGGGGGAGACACAGGAGGGACCAGAACAGGAGACCAAGTGGGTTAGTTCAGGCCAAGAGCCCTTTTCAGTCCTGAAAATAGTATTTGTTTTAAGTCATTTCCAAAGCAAATTGCAGCAAGAAATTAAACGGGATCCTGAAAGATGGAAAAACATAAATGGTTCATGGTTGGGATCAGTTTCCATCATCAAATTGCGCAAGTCCAACAGAAATAAATACTGGAAACGCCCCAGGACGGAAGGAATTTTCTGCCAGATTTGGGGGAGACAGTAAGAGACCCAGAAGAAGGGGAAGACACACAGCATGTTTTGGAGAATTGTGGGGATCCCATTCAAAGGAAAACCACATTTTTTAAAAAATAGGTAGAATACCGGAACATTTATTTATTTATTAAATTTGTTTGCCACCATCTCATGATAAAATGACTCTAGGCAGCTTACAGCAGGGCTTTTCAACTGGTGGTACGTGTACCACCTGTGGTACATGAGCACATGACAGATGGTATGCTGCCCTGCCCAGCCAAATGTAGTGGGGGAGGGAACGAGCCAGCACAGGCAAGGACTTACTGTGAGAGAGTCCTCTGGAGCTGCAGAGTGGCTGGGGCGAGGCAAAGGCCCCAGGCTCACTTCTGGCTCACCCCCCCTCCCCATGAGAAAGGAAGAGGAGGGCACGGAGACAGGAGAGGCTATAAAAGGAGGCAGTTTGGGTCGGGAGAAGGAGAGAGAGAAAAAGAAGCAGCCTTGGGAGGAGGTAGAGTCAGCTCTAGCTGCACAGAATGGAAAGAAGGAGGAGGGTGGGGGGAGAGGAGAGGAGATCAAGCAGGCCGGCCACAAATGGATCTACAACTTCTGCGGCAGCCACCTGTGCTGGGAGCAACAAAGAAATGTAGGGAGGAGGGGTTACTCTCCACAAGGAATGAAGAAAGGCAGCAATGAAGAAAGGAAGCACTGGCTGAAGTTGAGGCAAGGAGGGAGATGGAGAGTGGAAGGATTCTTTTGTGCTTTTGTGACTTTGAAGTTCTGGGATTTGTGCAATGAGGACTTTGTGTTCTTAAGGAGTGTTTGGCAATTTCTATTTGGCTGATGGCTGGTGTCTCTTGTTAGCTTCTATTGCTCTGCTATTGTTGGGTGTAAGATTTGCTGCAAGGGATTTTGAAGTATTTTTCTCCTGAATGGATTTTGCCTGTAGCATTCCTTTACTTAAGAATGGAGCCCTTTGGGGAGGCTGCCTTAGCCAGCAGCCATACATACTACATTTTTTTTTCTTCCTTAAGTGCCGACTGATCTCCTTAACTTTTCTTTCTAGCCAGTAGCTAATTCTTAAAGGAGAATGCGCCTTTTTAAGCTAGTTCCCCCAATGGCTTGTCTTTTCTGTCTCTGGAGGCTTTTCCTTGTTCAATGAATATATGGAAGAAGGGAAATGGGGGGGGGGTTCAAATTCTTCCTTCAGAAGGAGATGGGAATGAGAAAGAGGGAGGGAGGGAAGGAGGGAGGAAGGGAGGGAAGGAAGGAAATCCCGCTTTAGCACTTGGCCACCTGCCAATGACTTTGCTTGTCAAGAGGTTGCAGAAGGGGATCACATGACCCTGGGACTCTGTGACCACCATAAATATGAAATCCGTTGCCAAGCATTCAAATATAAATCACAGGACCTTGGGCATGCTGCAATGGTCATAAGTGTGAAAAACGGTCATAAATCATTTCAGTGCAATTGCAACTTTGAACAGGGTTTTTTTTTGGTCATCAAGTGTTTGACACCTTGCTAGGTGGTACTTGAATATTGCCATATATCCTAAAAGTGGTACAGTTGGTGAAAAGGTTGAAAAGCCCTGGCTTACAGCATTAATATATTAACATCTTAACAGATAAATATTTCTATAGCAATCAAAATGGAATTCCCAGTCAAGATAAAATTATACTTAAAAGATGGGGAGGAACAGGAGGTGTGAGGGGGGAGGGGGGATTGTCTCTGAATTCAACAACTACATCCAGTGTGAGGCTCCCCATGAGGACCCCCTGATTTTGAGCCAGATTTCGCCTAATCTGTACTTGAACCTTTGGTTTTTTTCTGCCCAGGTTCCCCCCCCCCAACCTCTCCCTGCAGCCGTCCGGCCTCCCTCCCAGCCCCATTTCCCTGGGGAAGGAGGTGGGGAGGGGTCCCACCCTCCTGCCTGGGATGGGGGGGCAGGGAGGGGTCTAGGACAACTCAGCCAACTCAACGCGGCACAAAAGTTACACAATATGGAAGAAATGGAGAAAGAGAATCAGGAAAGGAAGGAGGCCGAGAGAGGAGAAAAATGGAATGTGAAGGACAAAAATTAAAAAAAAAACATTTTAAAATTATTTTAAATAATTGAATAAAATTGTGAAATTGTCCTGCAGTGAGTTGCCCCATTCCAGACAGGGTGGGGGGAAAGGATCTGGGGGGGGATCTTGAGGTAAGTGAAAGTGGGGGCAGTTGGTGGCTGAGGAGATCAGGCAGATCCCAGGACCATAGAAGAGATCCCTCTTGATCTCCTCCTTCAGCAAATGGCACAACTCTTGGGTGGATTAATGGGGGGGGGCTGAGTGACCCCCCCAAGAGGGTCCTTATTAGATCCACTCCAGATCAGAGAACTTTTGCTAACAACGTTTCTCTCCCTTGAGGGATTCTCTGTTGAACAGCTCATTATATAACGTTTAAGAACATGCAATTTTTAAAGGGTTGGTTATTTGTAATTTAATCCTGGGATCTGGTCGGGATTTTTTTATGAACAGTTAATTATCCTCCTAGGTTTGCAGGGAAGAATTTAGGAGAAAAAATGAATTCCAGACTGAATATGCGGAGAACAAAATCTGTGTCGGTTCCCCTTAAATATTCCATAATTTCCGGAAGGAGCAGATGCCCAGCTGGTAAAATGCCTTTTTCTCTTGGGATTTGGTGGTTTTTCTCTTGTGGAAGAAAGATCTTATTTAATTCTTTGGTAAGCGTGTTATTTTGGGAGACCCTGACAACAACAAGTGGCAACAACCGCAGATGAAACACTTGTTTTGCACAATGAAACCTTATCAGTTGATAGAAATAAATAATAATAATATAAACAAATAAAACTAGAACAACAAATGTAGGCAATTTACCAGGAATCTGAAATAGGGAACTGAACAATCCGAGGCTTCAGGGCTGAACGAATGCCTGAAATTCAGTTTTAATGTTTGTGGGTTTTTTTTTAATCTTTGCCCCCAAATGAGGAACCTTCCCAGATACGAAGAGGGAAGCGATTCGGCTGCAGGTGAAGCCGAGACTCTGACCAAAAAGGGGCTTTCAGGGGGGGCTTTTCTCTCAGACCCCCAAAATTGGATGAACAACTGATTCTGAATAAAGGATAAAAAGAACTAAAAGAAGGACAGGGCACAACAGACGAAAGAGCCTTCCCTGAATATTATATTGAAATATTATATAGCATATAGATTATCTTGAAATATATCTATATAGTGGGCAAGGGGGAGACCTTGCCAGATTCCTCCCCCCCCCTCAGAAAAATATAATACTTGGTATAATATTCTGGAAAGAAGTTTTTCTGGGCAGGGGAAACTTTGGACCATGGGAAGAGAAGGAAGATCGTGGAACTGATGGGAAGGAGAGGAATCTATTTCTTCCCTTTGGCATGTTTCTTTGTCATCATTATAGAATTTCAAACTTTTTAAAGATAAATTAATTTTAAAGCTTATTTGTTATACATTTTTATTTAGGGGTGATGTTATGTTGTAGGCCATCCAGACCCCCGCTTTGAGGGGGGCGGTTTAGGAGTATCAATAAATAGCAATAAATACCAATGAGTAAATTTCATAGATCTGACAGTAGAGAATACATAAGATAAGATAAGATAACCTTTATTGTCATTTTTTTACGGTGGGCACAACGGCACACATCCCAAACGAAATTGAGTTGCCCGCTCTCAAAGTGAAAGACATACACGACACACTCTAAAAACACACTATGTGCAACATATGTGCAGACCCTCAGCCCTCCATATACATGACAAATCAATATTAAACACTGTCCCTCTTGAGTATGCAAGGGAAGGAGGAAGCTGGAGAGGGGCAGATCTTTCTCCGGGAGAGTCCTAAGAAATGAAAGGAAAAGGGGGGGGTCCCGGCATTCCCCCCCCCCATGGAACTCCCCCTCCCCCACTCACCTCTCCGGCCCACCATCTGACCGGTCTTGGCTGTCTCGTAGTTGTATCGGCAGAAGGCATCCACTCCGGTCTTCTGGTACTGCAGCTCGTGCTTATCCCTGTTCCAAGCCTCGGCAGTCGCCTTCCCCAACGCCGTGACGGCCTCGAACTCCCCGCGGGCGCTGTCGAAGCGGAGATACTCCTCCCGGTCGTAGATGTAGCGCTCCAGGAACCGCACCCGCCGCGTCCCGTTGAGGAAGCCGCACTCGACCTTATGCTGGTACAGGAAATGGGCTGCGGGGGGGGGGGGGTGGAGCAGAAAGAAGAGAGCCCTCAGGAGGGACTCCAGGGCCCATGGTTCCCAGCAGGGGCGGAGCGACGGGAAGGCGGAGCGACGGGAGACCTGCCGCGAGGGACTGCCGGAGGGCGCCCCCTGGAGGGATGGGGAACCGTCGGTCCCAGCGGGATTCCCCCTTGGTGGGGGTCGGGAGGGGGGAGGAAAACGAGGGAGGGGGAAGGAGGGACCCCCCCTCCATCTCCCCAGGGAGGAAAAAGGCAGGCAGAAGTTCAGCCGGTCCAGGCCTCCGTCCGCCTGCAGGGAACGCTGGATCCCCCCCCCCCAAAGCGATAGGAAATATGGGGGGGAGAGAAGAGACCCCCCTCTGGGCTGGAGGGGAAATAATATCCAAGCTTCTCTCTCCCTCTCCCTTTTGGGAGCAGAAGGGGAGGGGGTCACCATCAGGATACCCACACCCATGCTCCTGGGCTCTCCCTGCCCTTCAACCCCCCCTTCCCTTTCCCCCCCTCTGCCCCATCTTCAGCCCCACAAGCTGCCTTTGGGTGCTTTTCAAAGCCTCTTTCCTGTGCCCCTTCCAAAATAGACCCCCCCCTGCAGCCCCTCAAGACCACCTCAGAGGGAGGGGCTCCAGCCCCTTTCACTAAAGGGGGAGTCTGGAGGAGCAACTCAGACCCCCCCCAATATCCCTCCCAATAGAGACGGAGAAGGTGAGGGAGGGGAAGATTTTCAGTCTTGGGGGCTGCAGCTTTAGAGGGGTGTCCAGGGGGGGTTGTGGACTTCCTTTTTCACCCCCTCCCATGAATGTGGACCGACTGAACTTCTGCCTGCCTTTTTCCACCCTTGGGGGATGGAGGGGGGTCCCTCTTTCCCCCTCCCTCATTTTCCTCCCCCCTCCAGACCCCCACCAAGGGGGAATCCCGCTGGGACCGACGGTTCCCCATCCCTCCTCCAGGGGGCGCCTTCCGGCAGTCCCCCTTTCTCTATGTGCCTGCAGGGGTGGACTAGATGCCCCTTTAAGCTCCCTTAAGGCGCCCCCATGGGGAGTCCAGGCTGGGTCAGTGGAGACTTTGGAAGGGCTGAGGGGAGCCGGGGGGGGTCTCTCCTGAGACCCTCCCTCCCCCTGATCTCGCTTGGCCCAAAGGGGCTTCTTCAAAAGGCAGCTCCTGGGTTTTCCCTTGAAGATGTTTCGCTTCTCATCCCAGAAGCTTCTTCAGTTCTGACCGAATGGTGGAGAGTGGAAGAATGGATGTTCCTTGCGGTCATTTGGTCATTTTGAAAGCCGATCTCTGGTTCTCTGAGGGGCCTTGAGGACCCCCAGGGGTTTATCTGGGCCCTCAGGATCCCCTGAATTGGGGGGCCAAAGGGGTGGGGAGCCTTCCTGGGGCTGCTGAAAGGACCCTGTTGTAGGCAGGAGATGGGGGTCCTTTCCCTCCCCCCACTCTGTTGAGGGAGGGCTGCTCAATTTTGACCTAGATGGCTTGGGGGTCTGGGGATCTTGGGGAGGAGAGAACCCCCAGATTCCTAGTTACCCCCAAATTTTCTTTCCCACCAACTTAACTGCCATTGCGTGATTTGGGGATTCAGCCCTTTTTTCTATTACCCTGAAGCCCCCAAAAAACATCTCAAAGGGAGCATCTCCAGCCCCCCCTCAACAAAGAAATCGTTTTGGGGAGCCAATTTAGGGGAGCAATTCAGACCCCACCCAATCTCCCTCCCTCTCAATCCCCTGCAGGTTGCAATTCAGCAATGGGGGAATATGGGGTGGGGGGTTCTGGGTCTCCTCCCCAAATTGAGAGTCTCCCCCAAGAAGGAATCCAGCTCAACTTTCCCCTCCCCTTAAAAAAATAGAGATTCAGAAGAAAAACTGAGGTTGCAAAAACACTTTTGCCAAAAAGCGTCTTTTTTCTTATACATTTGGTGGCCTTTGTGGATTCAGGTGTGAAAATGCCTCAGTTTCCCTCTTTCGCTTTCGCTTTCTGTCTTCTTCCTCTTTCAGTGCAAGAAACTTTGGGGCTCAGGCGCTAATTTGGGGTTCACAAGGTCCCCCTCCCACCCAGCCACGGGGGGGGGGGCGAGAGAGGGGGTCCAGCTGCCTCTTATCCCATCTCGGCTGCCTTCTCACGACCCTCGCCCACCTCGGCCATAATTAGGGAACGGGGGCTCCCTCTTCGTCCTGCGGGGGAAAATGCGGCGAGGGAGGGAGACCACGCGGAGATCGAGGCCCCTGCAGTCTCCCGCCTCTCTTGCCTTCGACCTCTTTCCCTACTTCAGGGGTCCCAGCCCCTTTCTCCCCCCCCCCAAGAGCACTGACGGCCCCTCCCAGCCCCCCTCCGAGCCCCCTCCTTACCGGGCGTCTCCTTCCCCCCTTCGCTTCCGGGGATCCGGGCCAGGGCCCCCGCCAGCAACAGAAGAGGGACCCCAACGGAGCCCATGGACGCCGCCCCACCAGCGCCCCCAGAGAGCGGGGAGAGAGACGCGGAGGCTCCCAGCCCCACAGGCGGAATCGGGGGGTCTGGCTTGGGGGGAGGAAGCGCTTTCCTCGTATTTCGGAAGTGGGAGGGCCCAGAAAAGCGGAAGGACCAATGGGAATTCTCCCTTCTGCATCGTCATCGGTCTCCGGGCAGAGCCTCCCTTGAGTTCATCCACAAGAGGAGATAGTGCGAAGCCGAGAGAGGAGAAAGTTGGAGGGGGGGGGGGGAAATCCCTTCAGTCTGAGTGGGGGGGCTGCATTTTAGGGAGGTGTTTGATGCCAGCTCCGGAGAGGAGAGGAAGTGGCACTCGCACGTCCCCTGGGACAGGAAAGGGACTGTGGGGAGGAGGAGGAAGAGGAGGAGGGAGGGCGTCAGGAGGGACTCCAGGGCCCATGGTTCCCAGCCGCTCCTAGAGGAGAGACACAGGCTTGTCAGAGGAGGGGAGGGAAACCTGCCGCAAGAGGCTACCGGAAGGCGCCCCCTGGAGGAGGGACGGGAAACCGTCGGTCCCAGCGAGATTCCCCCTTAGTGGGGGTCGTGGGAGGGGAGGAAAATAAGGGAGGGGGTAGCTTTCTGAGGCCCCCCCCCCATCTTCCCAGGGTGGAAAAAGACAGGCAGAAGTTCAGCTGGTCCAGCACTTGGTCTAACTGTCTGCAAGGAATGTTAGATCCCGGTGGGGCCACTTTCCCCCCCAAACTGGCAGGAAATATGGGGGGAGAGAAGAGACCCCCCCTGGGCTGGAAGGGAAAATAATATCCATGCTTCCCTCTTCCTTTTGGGAGCAGAAGGGAAGGGGGGAATCACAATAAGGATACCCACACCCATGCTCCTGGGCTGTCCCTGCCCTTCAAGCCCCACCTTCCCTTTTCCCCTTCCCCCCCCTCACCCCGATCTTCAGCCCCACAAGCTGCCTTTGGATGCCTTTCCACTCCCCCTCCCCTTTGGGGGATTTTCGAGGCCTCTTTCCTGTCCCCTCCCCAAAAGACCCCCCTGCAGCCCCGCAAGTCCCTCTCAAAAGGAGGGGCTCCAGCTCCCTTCACTAAAGGAACAGTTTTGGGGAGCCAATTTAGGGGAGCAATTCAGACCCCCCCCAATATCCTTCTCCCTCAGTTCCCCCTCCCCTCCAAGTCCGGATTCAGCAATGGGGGAATATGGGGTGGGGGGTTCTGTGTCTCCTCTCCAAATTCAGAGTCTCCCCCAAGAAGGAATCCAGCTCAACTCTTCCCTCGCCTTAAAAAAATGGAGATTCAGAAGAAAAACTGAAGTTGCAAAAACACTTTTTGCCAAAAAGCGTCTTTTTTCTTATACTTTTGGTGGCTTCTCTGGATTCAGCTGTGAAAATGCCTCAGTTTCCCTCTTTCACTTTCGCTTTCCGTCTCCTTCCTCTTTCGTTGCAAGAAAGTTTGGGGCTCAGGCGCTAATTCGGGGTGAGCAAGGTCCCCCTCCCACCCAGCCACGGGGGGGGCGAGAGAGGGGCCCAGCTGCCTCTTATCCCACCTGGGTTGCCTTCCCGCGACCCGTCTCCGTCCTCCTGAGGGAGGGGGCGGAGACCACGCGGTGATCGAGACTCCTGCAAGGTCCCGTCTCTCTTACTCTCCACCCCTTTTCCTCCTACTGGGGTCCCAGCCCCTCTGCTCCCTCGACGAGCCCCCTCCTTACTGGGGGTCTCCTTCCCCCCTTCGCTTCCGGGGATCCGGGCCAGCGCCCCCGCCAGCAGCAGCAGCATCAGGGGGAGCCCAGCGGAGCCCATGGACGCCGCCCCACAAGCGCCCCCAGAGAGACGAGAGACGGAGACGCGGAGGCTCCCAGCCCCAGAGGCGGAATCGGGGGGTCTGGATTGGGGGGGAGGAGGAAGCGTTTCGCTCGAACTTCGGACCTGGGCGAGCCCAGGAAAGCGGAAGGACCAATGGGAATTCTCGCTTCCGCAGCGTCATCGGTCTCCGGGCAGAGCCTCCCTTGACTTCGCCCGATAGAGGAGATAGTTCGGCGCAGAGTGAGAAGCGGAGAAAATGTGAGAGGGGAACAATCCCTTCAGTCGGGGTGGGGAGAGCTGCCTTTTAGGGGGGCGTTTCAGGCCAGCTCCGGAGGGGAGGGCGGACTTCCTTTTGCGCCCCCCCTCATGATTCTCAACCAGAGCCTCCTTTTCTCTGGGTGTCTGGAGGGGTGGACTAGATGCCCTTTGGTTCCCAGAGGGAGTCTAGAGCAAAGTGGAGGCAGAGCTTGAGCGCTCCTCCTGGGCTCGCCAGGCTCAGTTTGGGGGCAGGAAGCCCCCCCTCACAGGTCTGGACCATGCGGAGGGGAACTGCGGACACACACACACACACACACACACACACACACACACACACACACACGCAAAGACTCCCAAACTCCTCAGGCTACCGATACCAGATGTTATATCAGAACCACATCCTCCACAAATCCTGGAGCATCGGGGAAGAACCGAGGATTGGAAAAGGGCTGATGTGGTTCCCATCTTCAAGAAAGGGGGAAAAAAAAAAACAGACCCAGGAAACTGCAGACCAATCAGTTTAACCTCAATACCTGGGAAGATCCTAGAAAAGATAATCAAAAAAGAGATCTGCGAACAACTAGAAGCAACCAAAGTCATAACCGGGAGCCAGCACGGGTGTGTGGAAAACAGATCATGCCAGGCCAATCTCATCTCATTCTTGGATCAGGTGACTGAATCAGTAGACCAGCGAAACGCAGTGGACGTCGCATGCCTAGATTTCAGTAAGGCTTTTGACAAAGTAGACCACAACCTGCTCCTTGCTGAACTAGGAAAAGGTGGGATAAACAACATCACCACCGGATGGATCTGTATGTGGCTGACAAGCCGTACTCAACGAGTAGTCCCCAATGGCACCACATCCACATGGAGAGAAGTAAGCAGTGGGGCACCACAAGGCTCCGTCTCTTCTCTTCTCTTCTCTTCTCTTCTCTTCTCTTCTCTTCTCTTCTCTTCTCTTCTCTTCTCTTCTCTTCTCTTCTCTTCTCTTCTCTCTTCTCTTCTAACTTTAAATGTATTGGCTATAGCTTGCAATGTATCATTCTTCCGCTGCAAATGTATCCGCCCAAGGAGAAAGTTCTGGGCTGCTGTCCAGCAGTTGTGTATTCGAAGCGTAGCCTGTGACAAGCTGTAACTGAGCTAACCTGATAGATAAGGAAAACACGTATTCAAACGAAAAAAGGAATCTTTTAGCCTGTTAGCCTGAGAAAGTGCCTTAGCTATAAAAGGGGGGAGGGTTTAGTAGCGTGTGTGCCTTTTCTCCTCTGTCTCGCTGTGCGTGTGACAAGAGATTGAGACACCCGGCTCTTCTTTGATCAAACCATAAAGCTGTTTTCTTTTCCGTAGCCTCGTATTCAGAGTCTCTCTGAGATTTGTGTGGATTCTGAGCTGAAAAGCCTTAGGGAATAAAGGGCTGTGACCAGGGCGGTTGGGGCTTTCATTGTTCTTCATGCCTTTTATGATTAATTTGATCAGGAGCATTTTAGCCTAAAAATAGTCGATATGTTGGCTAATGCGTTTGAATTTTTTAATAAAGTGGTAGCAGACCAGTGAAATGCTGTGGACGTGGTAGACTTAGACTTCAGTAAGACCTTTGACAAGGTAGACCACAAAACCATTCCATTCCATGTTCTGTTCTGTTCTGTTCCGTTCCATTTTCTATTCCATTCTGTTCTGTTCCGTTCCATTCCATTTTCTATTCTATTCTATTCTGTTCTATTCTGTTCTGTTCTGTTCTGTTCTATTCTGTTCCATTTTCTATTCCATTTTCCATTCCATTTTCTATTCTATTCTGTTTTGTTCCATTCTATTCCATATTTTATTTTGTTCTGTTCTGTTCCGTTTCATTCCATTCCCTATTCTGTCTGTTCCGTTCCATTTCGGTCCGTTCCCTATAAACTGACCCCAGGGACTCTGGGCCTGCCTGTCAGTCCAGAAGCCCAAATCTCTTCCGGCTTTGAACCCACAGCAGCTTCATCTCCACTACTCTTCCTCTGAATCCCTTCCCTTCACTATAAAAGAATAAAATTTAAATGGTAGAAAAACCTGGTGTTCCTCCCTCCCTCCCTTCCTCTTCCGCCTTTTTCTTACCTCTGCAAGAGGACCCTCCCTCCTCCCCTCCCCCTCCCCGGATTGAGGCCTCCCCTGCCTCCATATTGACCAACCGGGCTAGTTTAGGTCCGAAGCCAGAACCGGTTCGGGAGGAGGGTGGGCAGATCCCAGGGAGGGGAAGGGGCAGGACCCCCTCCTCCTCCATCTCCCCAAGCCCTGCCAGAGGGAGGGGACCCCTGGGAGACCCCCTATTCCTGCTTCCCCCGGAGAGCCTCTTCCGTGGCTGGGAAGCTGCTGGAGCTGGAGGTTCTCCTGGCTTCATCCGGGCCTCTTTCTCCAGGATCGGAGCCCGTTTGAGCCCCTCACAAGCCCGGAGAGGCTCCTGCAATATTCGCACCCAGCGCCCCCCTCCTTGGGGTCCTGATCCCCTCGGCTTCCTGCCCTCCAGAGGAACTCCCTCCCCCCGTCCATCTCCGCCCCCCCAAAAGGTGCCACGGTCGGGGAGGGCGGAGAGCAGGGCGGCCTCCCTGTGGGTGAAGTCACAAAGGACTCTGCCCGGAGACCGATGACGCTGCAGAAGGGGGAATTCCCATTGGTTCCGCCCCTTCTTCAGGGCACTTCCAGTTCTGAAGTCCGAGGAAAACGCCTCCCCCGCCCACCCTCCAGATCCCCCCCCCATTCCGCCTCTGAGGCTGGGGGCGTCCCTGGGCTCTGCTGGGGTCTCCCTGCTGCTGCTGGGGGGAGGGCGCTGAGCGAGATCCCTGGAAGCGAGGAGGGGGAGGAGGGTCTGGGTGGGTGGGGGCAAGGGCTGGGAGGGACCCCCAGTGCTCCTGGGGGGAGGGGGGAGAAAGGGGCTGGGCGGGAGGAGCTGAGGGGCTCCGAGGGACCCTCAGTTCTCCTGGGGTGGGGAGGGGGAGGGAAGAAAGGGGCTGGGACCCCAGACGTGACTTTGGGAAAGGGGTCGAGGG